GCACTCTCTGGGCCCCCCACCCCGACCTCTCAGGCCTGACCTTCTTCATACCCATTATTGGCCCCTCTTGGCCCCTCTGCCCCCACCCACCCTGCCCTTGGAGTTCCAGCCTTTGGGGATCAGCGCCTCTCACTCTCCACCCTGCTGAGCTGCTCCGGCTTCCATCCGTCCTCCTGCTGCCCCAAGTCTCTCTCTTCAGCACGAACCATCTCCTCAGCTGACCCATATCTACTGATTGCTGGCCTTCTCCGCCTGCACGTTCTACAGGCTCTCCACTTAACCAATCACAAATTCTACCCCTCATTCCCTTCCCCTGAACTGTGACCTTTCACCTGAAGTCCTTCCCCCGGCTAATGGCACCTGGTGACTCACGTCACCATCCTGGGAGTCAGCTCTCTCGGTTGTCCACAGCATCCACCTGGTCACAGATCCAGGCAAGTTTACCTCTACACCCACCAGCGCCTCTTCCCCACCCCCGCTGTCCCGATCTTCTGGACGGCCACCGTTTCCTTTGCTCTTCACAGTGAAGCCTCCCACTGGGCCACCCTGTGGGACCCACACTCCGCTGCTCTAAAAATCCCAGGGTCTGCTCATCAACTGCAGTTATTTGACTACTGGCACAGGCCACGGAGCCCCTTGTCACCTGGCTCTCCTCACTCACTGAAAACCAGCACCCCAGCCTTTGGTCATGAAGGGCACAACCACAGACCTTTGCACACGTGTGCACCTCTGTCTGAAGCACTTCTTTGGGTCTGGAAATGATCTCTGATTGGGAGATGCAGCTCTGTGTCCTCCTATGTGAAGCCTTCTCTTATTCCCTTCTAATAGCAAGAAGTCAGTGCTTCCTGCCTGACACCCATACCCCTTATAAGACCTTTCACTATATGCAAACACCTGTTTACATGTTTCCCTCCCCTGTTAGACACAGGTCTGCCTCTTGAACTATCCCAAACATAATGCCTGGCTCTTGGCATGGATGTCTGCAAGACATCCTGGCACACACAACTGTATGCCAAGGCCACACTGACTATTTCATGGTCACTGTCTGCCTTACTCTTCCCCAGAACAGTCCCCTCTGTCTAACAGGCCCAGGAACTTAGGTCTAGAGAGACACAATAACTTCAGATTAAGATTCAGTTACAAAGTGGTGAAGCCAAGATTTGAATCCAGGTCTGCCTAACTCAAATGCTGCTTTATCCAAGAGGCCCATAGCTCCCAAACCTGACTGATCATTAGCACTCCCCAGCCACCAAAGTGGAATTTTTAAAATGCATATTCCTAAACCATATCCCAGAACTCCTAAATTTGAATCAGATCCACCAATGCATAGGAGTCTGTAGAGTTCACACTCTCCAGATGGGTGTAACAGTCGAGCTGGTTTCAGGCATCACTCACTGGTCTCCAGGCCTCTGAACTATAGGAATACTAGTTCAGGCCTTTGGGAAGAGCTCAGAGCTGGAGACATAAGTCCAGATACAACTTACCTAGAAAAGGAATATAAAATTGTGGAAGTAGCTGAGCTCACCAAGGGGAGGGTACAGAAAGAGAAAATAAGAGGGCCAGGAGAGAACTGTGACAAGTTCCTGTAGAAACAGGGAGAGTAGCTAACAGAAACAGGAGAAAATGGTAAGAGAGAGAGGAGACTTCATAGTAACTATGTCCCAAAGCCAGGGCGTAAAAGAGTTTTGCAAAGGGGCACTTGATGACATAAGATGCTGTGGATGAAGGAGGGAGAGAAGGGCCCAGACCGTAACACTCGCATTGGTTATGTCCATGGAGCAGGATAATATCCTGACCTATAAGCTGATGTGGGTTTTGCTTGGTTGTTTGTTTTGTTTAAGGAGTTTTCTAATAGTCCTTGGTCACAGTGGCCCCCGATCCAGTCGGTGGCCTTCACTGCCAAAGGAAGGTATGACACAGTGGAAGAGCAAGGAACAGGAGTCAGACTACAGCTCAGGAGTTCAGCACTGTAGGTCGGGGTATTGACAACAGTCTGGGAGACCACAGGAAGAGTCTACCGGGCAACCCTGTCTCAAACAAAGGTCCCACGATGGCAAACATGGGAGTATCAGCCAGGAAACAGAAGTGAGTGAGACTCTGCAGTATATCCTTGTAAAAGGGCCCTGGAAGTTTTTACCATGTCCCTATTCCCACAGTCCAGAAGTGACTAAGAGACATCAGGAGCTGGACAGACTCCATACTGGGGAATAAGAGGCCACTTTGCCTGCATGCATCCAAAACCAAGGCCCTTCTAGAAGGGACAAGGCCATTTGAACAATGTGGACTGACCATGCCAAGAACCCCAGCATACAGGGGCCCTAGAAAGTCTCTAGGACTCAGCTGTGACTCCAGGGAAAGGGCTGAGAGCCCTGCATTTACAGAGATGAGGTGTATGCCACCGGGCCAAATGAAGTCTCAAATCAAACACTAAGTTCAGTTATAGGAAAGCAAAAACAAGTTACATTTCTTCCCCTCCTGAGTTTGCCAACTGAGATCCATATCTGTTGCAGTCCAGAAATGGGGATGGGAGAGAGAACAAGCAGCTGAGGAGAGAGCAAAATCAAACTGACAGAGGTGGCAAATACAGCCTCTTCCTAAAATAAAATAAAATAAAATAAAATAAAATAAAATAAAAATAAAGAATTTTTCAATTTAAAGTTGTAAAATTTTTAAAATTTGAATTTCCACCAAAGGAAGTTCAGGGCTAGAGCTAGCAGAGAGAGAGAAAGAGAGAGAGAGAGAGAGAGAGAAAGAGAGAGAGAGAGAGAGAGAGAGAGAGAGAGAGAGAGAGTTTAAGATGGAGGAAACCTGAGTACACTTCCTTAATTTAGTAAGTCACTGCCCACCCATGGCTTGAAAAAGGTAGAATTGCCTTAGCAACTCGAGGCCCCTTTCAAACTCCCACACTTTCTTCTGCACCCCCAAAGTCTTCGTGTAATGTCACTGACAAAGGTCACTGGCTGTCCCACTACCTCTCTCCCTCTACCTACCTACCTAAGCTCCACTTGGAAGGAATAGAGGAGCAACAGGCTGCAGAAGCTTACCCTGAGAGGCCTTGGGAGGTTTGGGCTTGCATGCTGGTATTATTCTTTAAAAAAAACAAACAAAAACCCAGCTTCACTGAGGTATAATTTACATATAAAACTCGCCCACTATAAATATATGACTGTGATTTTTAGTAAAGTTGTACAGTTGTGCAGCCCTCACCACCATCTAGTCTTAGAACACTTCCACCCCTCCATGGTGTGCTCTGACAAAACCCACTGTCCCTCCCGCACTCTCTGGACCAGGCAACCTCACTCCAGCTCCAACTGACCCCTTGCTCTCCCGCTGGTCCATTCTCCAGAGGCTGGGGGTTAATGGACCTGCCAGGCCAGGTTTCTTCCCTCTGATGCGGCTCCCCAGGTGGCCCTGCTAATCCTCCTGGGGACCCTGGGGTGAGGGGATTTCTGGGGCCATCTCTACAGCCTGAGAAAAAACCAAACTCCTACCCACTTGCACCACTGCTTTGGCATAGAGTAGACCCAGTGTGTCACTGGCTTCAGAACAAGACATAGATTTTTTTTTTTTTAAGTTGCAGAGTCAGTGCTAACTAAGCTGCAGGGATTTCAGGAGGGATGTGGTAGGGGAAGAAATGGACACACAGAGAAGATGCTTCACGGAGGGAAGCAGCGCCTGCCTTTCCAGGGCCATTTGGGGGATGCTTCACTTGTATTTATTTTGACACAGTAAAGATTTCTTGCCTGTTAAGAGACAAGGTCACGCCTCATAAGGCCACGTGGACCGCAGCAAGAGCTCTGCCTGCCGGCTCCGGCCATGTCATCACTCAGCGCTTGCTGGCCAGCTCTGGGCCCTGTCCCCACAAGCAGTCCTAGCCAAGCCAGAAGACGCACAGCCTGGCTCGCACCAAACACTTCCCCCAATATGGAGCTGGGGCTCATTATAAAAACTGGGAAAACGGCAGAGCTTTAAAGTGTGCATCACATGTGTCTGCTGAAGGGGCCAAAGAAAATGTCAAAGGTTAAAAAGCAAAAGAATTACACCCGTGATATCATCCATGGCTGGCAGCAACAGAAAGGAGAACCTCGTAACTCTCCTGCTGCTTTTGGAAACCATCGGACCATCCAATCCCGCTAATTAGAGGAAGGTGCTAGTGCCAGGGGAAAGATGGGAATCACGGGACAGTGACGGTTCCCATGCGGGGAGGGGAGAGACAGGGTTTCCTGTGCGCCTGGCGCAGGGGCCTCCCGAGTGCCCCGGTTTTGCCAGCCGCATTCCAAAGCTCCTTTCCTCCCATGCCCAGACGGAGCAAAGGCCGCTGTAATGACTTCACACTCAGCCAGAAGTAAACACTCTCCACACTTTTTCCATGGACAAGTTCTAACCCCAAACTGCCAGCACTAGCCTCCCAACAATCCAAATGGAAAGCTGCCTTTCCCAAGAAAATAAAACCTTTTCAACTAAATAATACATCTTGGCTGCAAAAGCGAACTTTCCTAAAAGCTTCCTAGAAATTATTTATCATGCAACGACACTGCAGATCACCTGGGCATGGCCGCCACTGAACAAAGGCCCTTCAATACAACAAATGATCAAAGAACAGAAGCTCGCTCCACGAACATCTGCCCAGCAATGTATGCAGCACATTTCACAGGCTCACAGGACGTGCTACTCACCACACACATGCACACACAAATGCACGCACACACGCGCACACACGTGCATACATGCACACATGTGCACACACATGTGCACACACATGCGTGCATACACACACATCACACAGCTCACTACCACCTAACTGGAACATTCTGAGAACAGGCTTGTGATCAGACAGGTGCTGATTTGAACAAGGAGCAGAAGAGCCCTGAGGTCTGAACTCGGCAGCGCCGCTATACACATCACACACATCTCTGCTCTCCCACACTCCAACTTGAACCCGCGTACCCAAGCCCAGCCCCCACCCAGTAAGAACGGCGCAGACGGGATGGCGGACTTACCAAGTTGGAATTGGTGGCGTTGGAGTCATCTTCTGGAAAGGGAATATAGATCGCTAAGGCCACACAATTGGCAAAAATGGTCAGTAAAATAATGATTTCAAATGGTCTGAGGAAGGGAGTTAAGGAACTTAATGCCACAGAAAGCACAAGTGAAACAAACATACATATATATTTTTAAATGAATCAAAGATTCGTAAGAATTTTGTTTAAACAATACATTCCAAGCCCCTTGTATTCTGAAAAGAAACATATGCCTTTTTAAGTGCTTCTAATGGGTCCCCGCCAAAATTTTTCCTAATATGTCAAAAGCAGTGGAGGCCAGTCGCGTGCCAGAGTAAACACAGATTTCTAAAAACTTTTTTCCCCTCCTTTTATTTATTTAGATTGCATTGGACTTCATTTTCCCTCATGTGTGCTCGGGTTGCTTTTAAAGAGCAGGGCCTGCTCCAGTCAGGACCCGAGTCCCCGGGCGCCCCTTTCCTTGTGGTTACACACTGCCACAGGGGACTCAAGCTTGGGATGGGAAGGGCAGGACAGAGGGGAATGTAAGGCAGAGACCTGGCTTTAAGATTTTTCATTTGAAATTTGGAGATTTTCTTTTTAATCCTTTAATTTGAAGTTCAGAGTGGTTTTTTTCTTCTCTCTTATTCTCTGACAGCTTCCAGAGAACCTGGCCAGGAACTCAGGGACCCCAAGAGCATAGCACACGTACTGCACATTCAGACGGGGGCAGACACCTTTGCTTTAAGGCACAGCTCCAACTAGAACCCTCAAGCCTCTTCGGACTGTGGAGGCCCTGCCATTGGTGGGCAAGACTTACATTCTAGGTCCTCTCCACTTTCCTGCCCTCGGTGCATGTTGGGGTCTAGCAGGACATGCTGAGGCCCACTCACCAGCAGCAGTACGTGCGTTCAGCGAGGTTCCTGGGCTTCGATTTCTTTATCAAAATATCAGGGCAGGACTCATTCTCAGGAGAAAAATGAGCTGATGTGATACTACCCCTTCCGCCCTGCACCCACACTTGAAGGCCGGAATGGGGAAGCCTCAGAGGAAGCGGCCAGTTTATGCTCTTCCAGCCCCCCTCCCCAGCCCTTGACACTGCCAAGTTCCCAGCCTAGTCCATGCAGCTTGACAGGCCGAAGAGGAAGAGGACGGACATTCCTGGGAGAAGGAACCAGCTGCATCTGCAAGCACATGAAACCTGTACTCACCAAGTTAACAAATTTTGAAGGAGGAAGAGACTCAGAGATTAGCTAGTTCAAATTTCTGAGGCCCTGAGAGACTAAGAAACCTTCCCGAGACCCCACAGCAAGTCCTGACCAGCCAGGACTAGAACCCAGGTGCCCTGGCCTCTGGGTCCAGTGCTCATTCCCTGCCATAGATGGCTGCTGTCTACTAACAGGGCAACCTGGGCCTGGAAGGGAACTTGGTGACAATGTAGTCCAGGCTTCCCAGCCAATGTGCTGGTTACTGACCCCCCCTGGGCCCTGTGGATGTAGGTGAGGGTCCATTTACCCAGCAGGTGTGAAGGCTGCCATTTTCTATATGAGCCTTGATATCAAGAACAAAGCATGCAGTGGACTTGTCCAGCCTCCCAGCTTGACAGACAGAAAATAAAAACACCTCTCCCAGACCCTATACTGGCTAACAGCAAAGCCAGGACCAGACCAGACCTACTGACTCATCTTTTCCAACACACCTGCTGCCCCTTGAGCTGGCCACAGCACAGGTGATGATGAGGATGATGATGGTGAAGGTCATGGGAAGGGCATAGCTTTACTGAGAGCTTACTCTGTGCCAAGCTCTGTTCTCACTGCTCTACACAAACACCCTGAGTGGAACAAACAATCAGGCCCACTTTTAAATGAAAGGTTAAACGTTAACTTGTCCAAGGTCACAGAGATCATGGAAGGATCAGATTCAAACCTAGAAAGCGTGGCTTCAGAGTCTGGGTTTGTAAGGACAGCTCTACATTGATCTATCCTGAAGCATTTTTAGGAAGTTAGTTCTCTTAGCCCTCCTACCACATCCTTCTTCCCTCCGAGCCCTTTCTCCACCTGCTTAGAAAAGTGACATTCAGCCCAAAGACTGGTCAGCTTTGTTCTCATCATCTGGGCAAGGGCATATTAATTCAACAGAGCCAGATTTCACACAGCCAGTCCTCAAATGTCAGCTTGGTCCCTCCACCAAAGTGAGGGACGCTACACTTGGGGGGTTTCTCACATTGTCAGTTCTACACCCTCCCCTGCTAAAAGTACTGGCTAGTGCTGGGGGAGGCAATGAGTAAAGAAACCAATCAGGCGGATAAGAAAAAAGCCATCAGTGTCAAAGCAGAGGAGGACCAGGAAAGTTCTGGGAGCATTCTGTGTCACCCAGGGACAACCAGATCATTTTTTAAAACTGCCTTCTTTCCTTAATGACAGTGTCAGATTCCACTCTTTAAAGAGACTGACTGGCTGGCACACCAGACTATCTCCTCACCCGCCTGCTCCCCTTCAAAGGCAACCTGGAAATGCCACCCAAGCAGCACTGCCCAGGCTGGGTCTGCTTCCTTTGCTGTAGGGAGGGTGGCTGCAGTACCCCTCTGCCCAAGTATAGGGGGATGCAGTGAGGTGGCTGAGGCCCACCACTTGCACACTGGGTAACTGCCTTATTAACATGGCTGCTGACTCCAGCCTCATGGGGCCAGACCAGTTTCTGTGGACAGCACCTCACACACTTCCATCAGGAAGCCTCCGCCCTCCCATTCTTCCCTCACCTGCCCTGTGTACTGCTGTCGCATCCCTCCTCTGCCCTTCTTCCTAGGCTTTGTATGTCGCCAGGCACTTCATTCTGCACTCAGGACTCCTCATCAGGGAGCTGTCCATCCCAGGAGGGGAAGAGTGGACTCGAAGTTACTGAGCACTCACTGAACACTCCCCTGAGGTAGCTTCCTGTGCACTTCCACAAGCGGGATTCCACAGCCCTTGCTAATACTTTGGGAGATAAACACGGTTACCCACTGTTGGAGATGACGAACAGAAGCTCTGGGGGGTTGGGTGGCCCAGGAACAGTCAGAACACAGGTGGCAGGCCCACGATGGGGTGGGTGTTGAGGCCCCAGATCCAGGTCCCACTGCGTCTGCTGGACGTCCACCCTAGTACTTCTCTTCTATGCCATGGGTGCACGGGGTGTGGGAAGTGCGAGGATTTGGGATTTGGGGAAACTGTCTTTGAAACCCCACTCTGTCAGTAGCCAGTTGTGTGATTCTGGCAAGTTCTACAGCTTCCCCAGGCCTCAGTGCCCCCCTCTCTGGGGGAGCCTGACCTGCAGGTCCCCCAGCTTTCTAGCTCCACAATTTTGAGTGAGCACCTGTGACAGCAGCCTGACGGGGACGCCCAAGCAGAGCCTCCACCGATCCACCTGGGAACTAGAGGCACACCGGCCACTCGGGACACACTGGCCAGTGCCAGAGCAGACACTTGGCTTGAACTGCATCCTCTTGAAGTTACGTCTGAGTTGAGGGGTTCACACATTTCTAGAACAGTTCTTGCTGAACAGAAACTTACTTGTCTCCCCATGTCATCTCCATCACCTTTCAACCACTACCTGAGACTTTTAAATCTTTCCGTAGAAACTCATGGATGAAACATGACACTCCCATCCCGAACCCTGGGAGCCACGGCAGCCCTGCCAGAAGGAATTCTTATTATAGGAAGGCCCAATGCTGAGCACCAGGGTTCTAGTCCTGTCTGTCACTGACTGTATGACCCAAGAGTCACTCCTGAGGGGCTTCATGCCATCACTCAGGAAAGTCAGAAGTGGACCTACTGATCTTCAAGGTCCTGTCCATCTCCACCACCCACAATTCCTATCATGTGAAGGGGCCTGTGATTCCATAGAGAGAGCCTGGCTTTTCAAAGCCCTTTTCTCCCAAAGTCCCACTCACCGGTTTCCATACAAACAAAGTGGGTCTGTGGTTAATACTGCAGGCCAGTGTTCTCCACTTTGGCTGCACACTAGAATCACCCAGAGAGCTTTAAAATATGTGTGGGTGGAGCTCGGGCCCCTGTATTTTGTTACAGCTTTCTAGGTGATGCCAACATGCAGACAAGAATGAGAACCTCTGCTCCTAAGCCTTGAACCAAGGGCTAGAGTCACTGACCACCACCCTCTTGCATCTCCTGGGCTCCTTAACTCTAGAGCAGCGGTTCTCAACCTGTGGGTCGCGACCCCTTTGGGGGTCAAATGACCCTTTCACAGGGGTTGCCTAAGACCATCAGAAAACAAAAAGATATTTACATTACGATTCATAACAATAGCAAAATTACAGTTATACAGTAGCAACGAAAACAATTTTATGGTTGGGGGTCACCACAGCATGAGGAACTGTATTAAGGGGTCGTGGCATTAGGAAGGTTGAGAACCACTGCTCTAGGGAGAGGGAGGTGATGAAACTATGCCAGCGCCATGACGTGGGAGGAAAAAAAGGTTCTGGAATAGCAGCATGAAACCACGATTAACCCAACACACCAGCGGGTCCCTAGGCAAACTCAGCTAGCTAAGATGATACTTCATAACCTCTTTGGCTCATTTTCTCAAATGTTGCTTATTATATGAAAAAAAGGAGAAAGAAACAAACACCTGAGGAGCTTGTTATACAGAGAGCTCCCTAGGCCCTACCCCCAGAGATTCCAATTCCAGTCTGGAGTTAGGACCTAGGGCTCTGCCTCATGCCCCACATGCAGTAGGTCTGGGAACCACTTTATAGGCTCAGTAGGTAACAGCACAGCCCACTGGCTAGCAGGCCTCAGGGGGCCTGCCCCACGGGGCTCCCAGGGCACCTGCCCAGCCCAGGGCACAAAGGATACTTCCATTCCACGATGTTTATGCACGCCCTCCGAATGGGGTTCTTTAGAGTCAGGCAGAGCAGGGCGCGAGGCGGGCGCGTGGACGTCGTGCTGCCCTGCTTCTTGGGTTTCCCATACTGCTGCCGCTTCCGCTGTGTGGAGCTGACTGTGGAGATGGTCGTGTTGCCAGCGCTTCCCATCAGCTTGGCCTGCCGGGCCGCATCGATGGCTGCCTGCCAGGACAAGGCCGCCCCCGGGGTGGGGATGTGCTCAGGGGCAAGCCCTGCTGCCGCATTGGCATTCATGTTGGCGTGAGCTGGGCGTGGACTCCCATAGCTGGAACCTGCAGGAGAAGAGGACAGGGGACAACCGTCACCAGGAGAGTCTGTGATACGTCCCAGGTCACAGACTCACAATTGCTTAAAAACCCTATTTCAAACCATTGCAGTTTGAGCTTGGAGGTGGCCCATGGAAACCTTAGTATGTGATGCTGCGAACAAAAATCAGGAAGTCTGTTCTTGTCCTAGTTCAGCTGTGTGACCTTGATATTTCACTTTCCCTCTCCAGTCTCATTGCTTCATTTTAGGCAGACAAGACCTGAGATGTGTGCATTACATGTATGGACCTCAGAAACATGGTGCTAGTGAGAAAGGGAGGATACAGAAAAAAAAATACACAGGCCGGCCGAGCAGCTCGTCGTTGGTTAAGAGTTGGCTTGAGAGCACGAGCTCTGAGCAGCAGGGCTGCCGGTTCAGGTCCCACATGGGCCAGTGACGCTGCACCCTCTACAGCTAAGATGATGAACAACAGCTTGACCTGGAGCTGGGCTGCTGTGAATGGCCGGCAACAGCATATGCTGCCGTGGGGCTGCAGTGGGCTGCCATAAGCTACCGTGAGTGGCCGGCAGCCAGCATGAGCAGCCGGCAGCCAGCGTGAGCTGCCATGAGCCACCCCATGAGCAGCCATCCAGAGGCCGGCGACCAATCTGCCTCAGCCGGGAAGAGCACAATGATCACAATACCAACATGGGCCAGTGAAGCAACATCCTCCACAAGTAGACTGAAGAACAAAACAACAGCAACTTGTCTGTTCCCCTTCCCCTGATTCCCCAGCACTGTTCCCCTCCCCCAATTCCCCAATAAAATCTTTAAAAAAAAAGATAAATACACAATGCAATATATATAAATTAAAATACATTTATATAAGAACACATATAGGTAAAATAGTATTAATTAAAGAGAATGGAATGGCTGTTTGAGGAAGGTGAGGAGGAAAATGGGAGTAGGATATGGGGATAAAAAGGAATAAGGAATGAATGAATGAATAAAGTGAATAAGAGAGCCATTGTATGAATCAATGATAACAAATGCACATGAGCTGAAGAGTATAAGTCACTCAAATCTCTGCACTCGAGTTCCAAAACCTAAAAATAAGTATAATAAAATTAGGGGATTGGACCAAAGTAAGGTTACATCCAGGTACCTCAAACCTATTAGGGCACTGAGTATTGGTTTAACGGGAGGCAGTAGGGGACTGTGATGGTTTTAAATCATGTCAGCAAACCTTTTGACATCCTCTTCCCATTGAGCAATAGCATCTAGACCCCTTCCTCCTAAAAAGGGGTCAGCCTTTGGTAACAGCTTTGACCAATAACATACAGCAGAAGTGACAGCACATGACTTCCAGGGCTAGGGCAGTAAGGGAACATCACATCCATGGCATCCATTGGGCTCTCTCTCCGAGTGCTGGCCTTGAGGGAAGGCAGCCACCCCATGAGGCAGCCTGACCGCCCTGAGGCTGCCGCCGTGAGGAAGCAATCTCAGGAGAGCTCCCAACCCAGGACCGCCCAGCCAAGCCCTCCCTGAATTCCTGACCCATAGAAACTGTGGGAGACAGCAGGATGTTTGCTACTGTAAGCCACTCTTTGGGGTGATTTTGTGTCTGGGAAAGAGAGCTGTGTGTAGCGGGGTTGGCAGGATGGGGTGGACGGACACTGTCAGAAAGGGGGCCTGAGTAGGAGCCAGTGAATCCAGACTCGGGGCATCTGCAGTGCCCTGGTTTAACGGCAACTCAGGACCGTCCCTAAGACACCACGAGTACCCAATGGGCACACCTCAGTGAGGTCAGCCAGATGTCTCCCCCAGAATCGCATAAGGCTCACCAAGTCATCAGCTCAACCTGGGCCCAAACCCGTATGCCCCCGAACAGAAGCGTGACCTTGAGATTCGCCAACTGACCAGGTGTAGCAGGATCAAGGAAAGCCACAGGGAACGGGGTGCTGCCATGGGCACAGCCTGGCATCTGGAGGTCATGTCAATGGCCTGGGAGCCTGTGGCTGGAGCAGGCAGACCAGCTGCATGTACATCGCTTCCAGGTCCCCCCACAATGACCCTCTGCTCTGCTCAGTTGCACAAGGTCCTTCCAGGGAAGCTGCTGAGCCCAGAAACAGCACCTGGCGGGGCCCCTCAGTGCAGCTCACCAGGATTCAGATGGACACTTGGCACCCTCCCAGCCACCTCTCCCCAGCTCTTATCTGTGGCTCATCCTTCTACATTTGACTTTAAGATAACTTTTTCTCCCAGTGTGACCTGCTTTCTGGATCCTATCACGCCCACCATCAGACCTGTCTCCCACAGACCAGCTCACAGCTGAGCACATGACACAGCTTAGCCAGTCAGAACATTTCACCCAGACGGCATCTGTCCCAGAGACACATTCCAACAGCCTCACTAGACTCCTGCATCCAGCTGTGCCTGATGCTAGCCTTCCCCTGAGCATTCTGGTTTTATTAGGTAAGTAACTTAGCTTAAGCTCATTTGAATTGGGTTTCTGTCCCTGGCAACCAAAAAAGATCCGACTAGTATGGTTGCTCAGTGCCATAAAGCTTGTACCTGGCTGGGGTGTCATTTCTGCCAGATTCCAAAATCTATGTCCTTTCCATCATCACACTAGTGGAAGACAACAATTTTCCACTCTTGTGCCAATTAACTGGCATCACTGTCCAAAATGCTGTACCTGAAGGATTCTGAGGCTTCTCTGAGTGCAACAGGAAAGCATACCATGATGGATTAGTGATGTCTGCACTGCAGCAAGGGTAGGGAATGGTATCACAGATGCACATAATTACCACCCTTATGATGCCAAGATGAGCACACCCGGTCTTCTTTACCAGCTGGTCTACTGCCTTCTTGTCCCCTGACAGTTAGTTGCCTCCTGCACTACTACCATCTGGTCCCTATAGCATTGCAGCCCCACCCCCACTCCCTAGGGCCTGGAAAACTGCCTCTTTGCCATACTCAATCCATGGCTATATTCTGAACGTGACCCTGACTCCCTTCTCACCATAGATTCCCTTCTCCCTCCTCCTCTCCTCTGCCCCTGCTGCTCCTGGCAGCTGCCGCACCCCCAGGGGTAAAGTATATTAACCAGAATGTCAGGACCATGGAGAACCCAACACTCCTAACAGACGTCTCGTCTCTCACATACCTTGCCACTGCACATACTGTGTGGATCCTAAGCATAAAGCAAGGAAGACCCCAATAAGATAGGCCCGTGCCTTCCTTCTAAGACCCCAGGGGAACAAATTGGAAGAGAGGATTTAAATTAATAAAGGCATCTGAAGCATGAGAATAACTTTAATAACCAGCCAGCATTGAGTATCTCCATTTAACACGTAAGAAAACAAAGGAGTGTGACTCATTAAAGGTCACAAAGTGAGACAATGGAAGATTTCTGCAGCAAGCACAAGGCTCAGAGTGAAATGCGAGACTCTACCCCGCCTCCTCAGATCTCACACGCACACGCCACATGCACACACACGTGTACGCTCACATACATGGCCACAAGCAAAGCACACACACCTCCTACTGGTTTATGGGCCTTGAGGTGGGGCAGGCTGCATTTCCGATCCCAGAACATCCTTTACATTGGACGTGATCTTCACCAGACAGCATCTGCTACCCCAACAGCCTGTTAGTAACCCTGGGCACCTCAGGGATGGATGCAAGTGAGAAGTGTCCCTATTCCTATCTACTGCTTGGAATGACAGAGTCTAAAGTGGCCTCATCTGTCGTCTCATTAGGTTCCCCAGGGAGGGCTGGAACTCTAATTGTGTCTGATCAATCTGCAGTATATCATTTTTCCTTCCTGTACTACCTGTCTGGCATTGATAATGCTTACGAGACTCTATTTTATTCCTGGACTAACTTCTCTTCTTCTCTCACATACATAAATGCAGCCATGTCCCCACCACTGCCAGCCTTTCCAGACCCCGATGCTTTCCTCACGACAAGCCCTCAACATCTCACACCTTCCCGCACTGTCTTCACATGCTAATCTTTGTACTCACCCCCAAGCATTGTCTGAATCCCCGTCCCTCACACCACTTGCCAGTTCCAAAAACAAGGAGTGTTTGGACAACACTTGCGGAGAAGGCAGGATGCACCAGCACAAGAGCAGGACCATCGCCCTGCAAAGGCTGTGTGGGGCATGGACCCCACGGCCTCCACACAGCGCCCAGGGGGGCTCTAAATGCCACCTTCTGGTAGGCTACCTTCAGAGCCGCCCCGCACCATGGTGACCTTATTCTCATTGTGAACCATTCCCAGAACACAAGGACCTCTCTGGAGCACACCATCTGGAGAAAGCACATACAAATAAGCCCATGGGGAAAAAGGGAATGTCAACCTCTCCCTAGCTGGAGGACAAGAAAACAGCCTTCAGTATTTTGGTCCTGGCAGCTCTGAGCATTGCTGCGGCCGGTGACATGACGAAAAGCACTGCCACACAAAGCCACACACAAGTGAGACCGGCATGGCCCCCCAGGTTCCTCTGCTGGGCTGTACTCCAAGCCCAGCTTGGCATTCCCCTCCTCTGAGAAATTTCCCTCACCCAGACCCGAGGCTCTATGAGTACCCCCAGATCCCCCATGCCAAGGAAGCAGAATTCTCCAAGAATCCCCAGAATGGAAAACCTCCAATCTCAGGCTCAACGTTTCTGAACCCAAAGCAGTGCCATGGAGGAAAGGCAAGCAGCATTGTGTGTGTGACGGCTTTTGTTAGCACAAAATAACCACCCAATGCAAAGAGCCCAATTTTCAAATTATAAAGCTGATTCAAAGCTCTGTCTCCTGACTGCCAGCTGAAAAGATGCCACCGTTTAAATCTGCTCTGGCTCCTGCCTTCCGAGATGATCTCCACGGATGCTCTCACCCCCGAAGGAGCCGGAGAGCAGCAGCTCAGCAGATCCGGCCACACACCAATCGGTGGGTGCCCAGAGCCTGATCGCTTCCTCATACATAAGCAAATGACTCCCATCGTCAAATGGTCCAGCTTCCCTGAAGAC